ATGAAGGGATGGAGAGCGGAGAAGGACTCGGGGGCTGAAGGGATGGAGAGCGGAGGACTCGGGGGATGAAGAAGCGGACGCTCGCAGCCCAGAAAGCCAACCGTCTCCTGGGCTGCATCGGAAGAAGTGTGGCCAGCAGGTCGAGGGAGGGGATTCTGCCCCTCTGCTGCAGTGGGAGCCCACCCGGAGCACTGCACCCAGGGGTCCTTGGGATGAGAAGGACACGGACCTGTTGGAGTGGGTCCGGAGGAGGCCCCGGAGATGATCCGAGGGCTGGGACACCTCTGCTATGAGGCCGGGCTGAGAGAGTTGGAGAAGAGAAGGCTCTGGGGAGACCTCGTGGTGGCCTTTCAGTCCTTCTGGGGACAGGGCTTTTAGTAAGGGCTGTCACGATAGGATGAGGCAGGGATGGGTTTTAAGCTAAAAAAGGAAAGATTTAGATCTAAAAAGAGAAGATTTTTTTACGCTGAGGGTGGCAAGACACTGGAGGAGGTTGGAGATGCCCCAGCCCTGGAGACATTCAAGGCCAGGGCTCTGAGCACCCTGATCTGGTTGGAGATGTCCCTGCGGGTGGAGGAGGTGACTTCCCAAAGTCCCTTCCCACCCAAACCTTTCCACGATTTTAATATGGAGTTGATCCCGGTTGATCCGTCGTCTCATCCCATAGGGCTCAGCGAGTTCGGAAGCTTCACCAGGAATCGGATAATGCCACATTCAGCGGCGGAGAGGACAACTGCGACAGTCGTTCCCACCTCAGCAACGCCTCGGCTCCCAGTCATCCCGAGGCTGGACCCAGTCGGAAACGTTCCCGAGCTTCCGATGATTCTGGGCCCGATCCTGATCCTGAAACCTCTCACGAGGGCGGAGGGCGGGGGAGCCCCGAGCCGGGCGCCGAACCGGGCAGCAGCGAGATCGAGCTGGTTTTCCGTCCGCATCCTCTTTTGGTGGAGAAGGGCGAGTATTCGCAGACACGGTGAGGGCAGGGATGTGGTGGGCAGGGGGTCTGTGGTATGGGCCGGGGGCTCTGCTGGTGTAGGCAGGGGGTCCAGCACTCTCCCAAGACCCCCCGAGCTCCTCGGGGTGGGTGGCAGAGCAGGGAGTGACCCCCCCCAACCCCCCAAGGGCAGTG